CAGGGTTGAGTGTAATCTAGGCACATTAACCCCTTCACTACATCGCTACACATGTCCTTGGGTCACCAGGGCAGATGTGAATTTTAATGAAGGCCAGGCATTTTCCCATATCACATTCTGTAGTCCGCCCCTACCTGGATGAGAATACCTTTTGGGAAGTATGGTTATTTGAGCTCCAGTGGAAATTTGAGGTCTACTAATATCATTGTGGGAAAATTCAACTACTAGTCACTTTATCACCCCAAATGAAATAGGATGATTACATCTCACATATATGATCTACTGATAGGCTCAAAAACCTATTTATAAACAAAAAATCGTTGATCTCTGCTTTTCAGGAACTAATAGCTGGTCTACCGATGGGCCACATGAGTTTGCAACTTTGAGAAGCAAAAAGTGCAGCCTCCTTCGAAGTCACACCACGACAAAGCCAACAACTCAGGCTCGAAACCTGACTCTGCAACTAACATCACTCTCCAGCCCCTCTCTCTTTCTCCTTTCATCTCTCCCGATTTCACTCAGGCTCACGATGCCATTAAAAATTCCATGTCCTTGCCTCATGAAAGGATTTCTTGTCTGGAATAAACTTGTGGTTCGTTTTCACTCGGTGCGGGGCATGTGAGGAGATCGTAACATCCTAACATATATTCACACTTTCTAATAGTTCAGAGCAAACCAGGCATCTCACAATTCACATTTGCATTGTGGGATTTTCGATAAAGGCAAGAAGCCTGGATTGCCTTGAAAAACACGTCTGCTCTGTGAGATTCATTGGCCTCCGTGGATGTGACACAAACTGGCTTCGAATCCTGTCGACTAAGGGAAGCCAAACGGCTAACCTAGTCCGATTGTCTCGTGGTGCCCAATACTTTCATTGTGAAAAATTCAACTATTAGACCTTGCATCTTCTTATGCGAAATTGACTCAGTCGAGTAATTATTAAATATCTACAGATAATTTCACAAAGTTTCGATCCTCTATAATCTGGCAATTATTTTTTTCTCTTCACACATTATTGCTCGCTTTCCGTTATTTCTCCTTGTTTGGTTTCGAGGTAGAGGCTACACGCCTCTTCAATTTCTGGGTTTCTCTGTAGAATCCGCTACTGACTAAGCTGAGGGTTTGGTAGCCTTTGGCAGTGCGTAAATGAGAGATCAATTCACCCTAGTTTTCGGATAATGTTGGGAAAATTGAAGCATAAGTCCCTCACCACCCAATGCGACCTAGGACGAATGCAGCTTTTATTCAAGATCTATCGATAGTTTTGAAACCTACACAAACATAAAATAAGCAATGTAGTGATTATACTGCAAATGTAAGTTTGTTATTTCGCCAATCCCACTAGAATAAGGCAAGGTATAGACCTTGAGATTCATGCCTGTCCAGTACCCCAGGGGCATTGATGATAGTGTGGTGGGTTCGACTCCCATTTAAAGGACGGATTCTCATCAGATCTAGACGAGGTCGCAACTGCAGTCTAGTTCTGTCTGGATGAGAATACCTTTTTGGAAGCAAGGCTATGCTACATTTAGTGACATCCTGTCGTCTCTTCATATAAGTTTAGAAAAAATTCAACTTGAACACACATCTTATCCAAGATCTACCGGTAGATTCAAAACCTACTCAAGCGTAATACAAGTAATTTCTTTTAAAGTGATAGGGGGACTGGTAGCTGAATTTTCACACAATCATATAAGTAGATCTTATGCTTTCATAGAGTTTCTATTAGTTGTTCTCCTCCAGGCTAGAGGTGACTGCAATTTCAACCTCGCCTAGGTCTCATCAGTACTCCCAGCGGGATTCGAACCAGGGTTGCGGTAGTGACCGTTTAGTCTCGACACTCAAATCACTACGTCAAATTGTCACAGGAAAGAGGGGAATTTCGAAGATCCCTAGGCCTTTGCCATATCACACGAAGTCAAGTTGTATTTGCTATAGCAATAGACTACGTTACTTATTTTTCGTTTCATAAATGGAAAAATTTAGTAGAGAAATTCAGTTACTAGTCCTTCATCATTTCAACTGAAATATGCTGGATACAGCTCTACGGCTCTTGAAAACCTACTCATTAAATGAATGCAAGTGCTTGAAAGAGTCGGATTAAAATCCGTCCATGTAACTCATCTCTCTTTGACGGTATCCCTCCCAGCTGGACAAGTGTCATTACAAGGTGGTATCGCATCAAATCCCAGACGGATTTCGCATTTCCTTTATTTTTAACGGACCTGCCCATCTTCCGGTCACATTCTACACCTGACTACTAACCAGAGATCTTCTTAGGAGTGTCCACATGATGACAAGCAGACTTACGCGAGCACACAAATACGCCCTCATCCCTCCTACACACGTACTATTATCATTTTAGGCATCTTGATGACTGTTTGCGTGCATGTCTCGGGCTAGCATCGTTGCCTAGCTCCGCGCTTACCCCTTCGGCCATGCAGATTGTCCATCCACTTCTCGGACAAATCGGTTGAGCCCTCCTTCTGCCGGAAATGACTCTCGTGGCGTGGCAAAGTAAAGTTTTCCAATAATAGTTTCTTGGGTACTTGGGAAAAACTGACAACAGTTGCTCGCCATGGCCATGCCTAACATGGGTCCGGGGAGGGTGTCATGGGCTGGCAACCGATGTCCCCGTCTCTGGGCTCTATCAATAATAAATATGCGTTGAAGGTCTAACCTTGTGTTGTCCTGATCCTGATGCGTCTACACTACACCTATGCTGTAGTTAAGGTTAGTTTATCTGGGAGCATCTTCATTTTGCTGCCACAGCGTTACATTGTCGCAAAGTCTGTGCACATTGCCCTTGGCCTTGACGTCTCTTTCGCCTCCCCTCATAATATATCTACAATTATCCTGACAGATGCTACAGACCTGAGGCTCTCTCACCCCTCAACCATCGGTCTGCTTGCTTTCTCGCCTCCTTGCAGAGCGTCTAAAGGTACCCCGACTGTCAGGGTAACGAAAAAACACAGCTGTTTGCATTGCTTCTCGTTTAGCCACATTCCAGGGACTTTAACCCTTACGCCTGGCCTCCCCCAGTCCGCGCGGCAACCGACGACTGGTCATTATCGTTTTGCCCGCCTTCGTCCTCTTCAGCGTCAGCACCACCAGACAATGGTGCTCTAGATACTTGGTTTTGTGTCGTCAAGCCGTAACCACACTCTCCCCGACACGCAAGCTCATCATCACGAGTGGGTAGAACAGTATCTCCAGCCTCTGAGAGGAGTACATCTTGCGATAAACAGACATTATGACTCAAGTTGATGAACTAGAGAAAAGTATAACATGTCGAAACCCCCTTTTGCGAGGCTAATTTGGGGTTGAAATACGTATTGAGTCTCACTTGTCAACTTGGTCGATTGGCCAGCTGCCATGCTAACGAGGCCCTTCTGCTTTGTGACAACATCCAAGGTCTTGTAAGACAAACGCGGCTTGTAGTAGGGGAAGACAAAAGATTAAATTCACTCCATCGAACGCCGATTCCGGGGCTCTGCCAGCAGGACGCTACTTTACTTCATGACCCTCGGTAGCTCGTGAATAGGAGGTTTAGTCGACAGAGGCTGCATAAAGTGAGGAAGGAGGGATAGCTGAATTTTCCCACATGGCGTCATGACCTCATGATACCATTCTTGAATGAAACACATGTTGTGAGACAAAGAGGCAAGCGAACTTAAAATGGCATCATCATTAGATTAAATGAAAACCTTATCAGAACAGGAGTGGTATTCATCCTTACCCGCATTAGGTGATAAAAGTGTGATAGTTAACTTCTTCCACAATAATATGAGTGAGTCTCACGTATCCATTAAATTTCATATAGTCTCGTGTTCTAAAGGGCATTCTCATCTAGAGTGAGTGGAATTCTTATTCAAGATCTACTGGCAATTTCGAAGCCTACTCAATATGACTATGAGTAGACAGCAAACTTTCGGTTTGTGCATGCAAAGTAGGATTTGAAATCGTTTGTAAATATTGAATAAAAGTTCCAGTAACCCTTGCTCACATGCGATGATAGTCGAATTTTCCGACCCAGTCAGGATGGTAATACCTTCTGAGATGCAATGCTGAGTAAAATTCTTTTGAGACGTAATGTCTACTCAAATCATTGTGGGAAAATTCAACTACGACCTAGAATAAATACAGCTCTTATTCAAGATCTACTTGAAATGATATAAGAACTGAAAGTTGCTCTTTTCCCACAATCGGATGAGTAGTCATAATTGTCCCATTGAATCTCACTTGGTTTTGCTTCCAAAATTGATTCTTTACTCCAGGTTGGGCTACAATTTCTATCTCGCCTCATCGCCCTATCAGCACCCTCAGCCGGATTCGACATCAGATCTTGGTCATCACGACCATGTTGTCACTGCACTACACGTCCTTGGATAAGAATACATTTTGTGAGGCAAGGCTAATCGAAATTCACTGGCATCATGAGGTCTACTCCCCTTATATTGGGAAAATTCACTGTCAGTCCTTTATCACATTAAGCGACATAGGCTGACGGAAACTCTTGTTTGAGAACTATTGGTACTCTAAAAATCCTACCCAGAACGACTATCTGAGAAGTGCATTTAAACTGGCCTGGATTCACCATACATGACATAATTTCAGCTCTATGCTATTACATTCTTCATTCCATTCTGATAGGCCAGCGGAACGAGAACTTAAATTGGCCATCCTGGAGAACGTAGGAAATCTTTGTGGTTCTACGATGCTGGCTTCGCTTTAACACCATGCGAGGCTAATCCATCCACTTTGAGCTTTCGTCTGTTCTACCATGACAGATGTCTTCAGCGACTGTAATCCCACTTGCCACATCCTCTTAGGCAATCTAAAGTGGCTAAGGTATTTGCACAGGAACTATCAATAATCTCTCAACATCTCACATTGAACATTAGTAATGTCGTCGGAGCGAAATGGTAACTACAAGTTTGTCCCAATGACACTCCCATTACAGAAGGTCATTTCAGAAGGATTTGGCTTACATTAAAAGTCACAACTTCCCAAGAATCCACTAGCAGACGTGGTGTCCGCAACCAGGTCTAGAATCCGTTTGGGCGACAGATTTGAGGTGAGTTCGAGCCTGTAGTCCAGTTCGGATGGCAATCTCCTTGTACTGATTCATCCAAAAAGTCCTTTTATCATATCAGTTTTGAGCCTATTTTTATAGTCTACATTTGCTAATTAGTGAAGTTCCTCATTATTAGAATAATTATTTCATGCTTGTAGATGAGCGTTTAAAGGGTATAATTCGAAACCCGGGTTCACGTAATATCCAAGGCCTCAACTTGTCCATACATAAGGAAGTTTCCATTCCTTTAGGCTATGACTGGCTTACGTGTATGTATTGAAAAAATTCATATTCCCATAAATCCAATTGGTATGTTCCAACGGCATGAATAGATCTTGAATGTAAATTTAGGTACCCTAGGCTGCTTAATATGATTTAGGACTAAAAGTTGAATTCTCCGACAATGATATGAGTAGACTTCATAATTCCACCACAACTCGGTTGATTATGAGTCTTGAATGACAATTGGCCAAACTTTAGTTTGCATGTTTTCCACTTGATTATCTGGGGTCCATTCTAGTCCCCGACCTGAACGAGAACAAACT